CAACAACAACTAACAGACACAGACTCCTCCTATATATAGGGGAGAAGACTTGGCCGTAAACAGGTTTACGGTCGTAAACCTATTTACGGCCGTAAACACACCAAAATACTTCTATTACAAGACTCACAGTACAAATGACCTATACATCCAAAAGCCTAGCTCAAACCACAACTTAGACCCTTCACCTATTATTTAAATCATATCCCAAGTTAACTTATTAGAAAAATACCCAAAATACCCTTTGGTCAAAATTGTTCAAATCCTTGTCAAAGTCCAAAAATCAAAATTCAAACTTGGTCAACGCAGCTGAGTACGCCCAGTGTACTAAGCTTGTACGCTTGGCGTACACAACCTTGACCAAAAATCGAGATGGTTGACCTCGAACGCCCAACGCTCCTTGGGAACGCCCATCGTGCGTGGCTAAGTCCTTTCATCTCCATTAAGAGCTTAATCCTTAAGCTCTTTTGTCCATAATCCAGATCCAACCCTAGAATGACGTCCTTAAGCATAAAGTTTCCAACTTTATGATCTTTCATGGCCATTAAGTGACCAAACACAAAAACCCAATCTACTTAACCAATTAAGACCTTTTAACCCATGCATGGAAGGGAAATAATGATCAAGACCACCTTTTTATGCTTCAAAACACCCGAAAACGTCTAAAAGGACGGCTTAAATGGATTGGAGTAGCCCATACTCAAAATACCAACTAATGAGACCAAAGCGACACAAACTCATGGTTAACTTAGATCTAAGCGTTGCTTCATCAAGTACAAAGCTTTTTACCTCCAAATGTTGCCAAATGGTGTTGCTATTCTGGATCCAAAGAGTCCCACTCCTCCAAGATGATCTTCTATTCTTCCTCTCTCCTTCAAAGACACCAAAACACACATATAAAATGCTCAAAAAGGCTTTAAGAGTGGATTAGGGTTTGCTTGGGACGAAAATGGGTTGGAGGCTGATGAATGAAGACAGGTTTGGGACTTAAGGATGTTTAAATAGGGTCCAAACCCTAAAAATTAGGGCTTGCACTCTGGACACTTATGCACTGCGTTCCTAGGGCACGCCCACTCCTATAATTTATGAAAATCCCATTTTGGTCCAATTTTGCAATTAATTCACTTCCAAGGTCGAAAACGAATAAATTCTCATACTTAGGGTTTAAAATGAAAATACCTCAACGTCAAGATGTTACAATTCTGCCCCACTTGAAAAAGACTTCATCCTCGAAGTCCACTACTATGAACAACTCAGGGTAATTCTCCCACATCTCCGACTCGAGTCCCAACGTTCATTCGGAACCCTTCTGATGCCTCCACCAAACCTTGACCAGGGACACCACCTTGTTGCGTAAGGCCTTCATATTTTGATCCAAAATCACCAATGGTCTCTCAACGAAGTTCAGGCGATCATCAACCTGAATATCATCGATAGGAACAACCGTTGAATCATCAACTACACACTTCCGAAGTTGAGACACATGGAAGGTGTTGTGAATCTGGCTAAGCTCCTCAGGAAAATCCAATATTTAAGCTACCTTACCAGCCCTGGCGAGCACTCGAAACGGACCAATATATCGGGGCCCCAACTTTCCCCTCTTCCTGAAGCGTATTACACCCTTCCAGGGAGATACCTTTAGTAAAACCATGTCACCGACCTAAAACTACAACTCATATCGACGCTTGTAGGCATAATTCTTCTACCGACTCCGAGTTGTCTGCAATATCTGCCTAATCTGTTGAATAAGCTCTGTCGTCTGAAAAACTACCTCAGTCCTTCCCATGACTCTATGACGAACCTCTCCCCCGATAAATTGGGTTACGACACTTCCTCCCATAGAGAAGCTCGAATGGTGGTAGACCAATGCTGGAGTGATAACTATTGTTGTAAGAAAACTCAGCTAAAAGTAGGTAGGAGTCCCTAACTCCCACCGAAGTCTATGACACAGGCTCTTAACATGTCCTTGATTGTCTAAATGGTCCGCTCACTCTTACCGTCAGTCTGCGGTAACCCATATCGTGTCGAATCCCTTAGTCGTCCGAAGTAACTTGGTGATGAAATCCATAGTAATATGTTCCTGTTTCCACATGGGAGCCTCCAATGGCTGCAACTTGCCATGCGGCCTCTGGTGCTCGGCCTTGACCATCCGACAGGTCAAGCACCTCACGACATACCATGCTATCTCTATCTTCATGCATGGTCACCAATAACTAAGCCTCAAATCTAATACATCTTGGTGGCCCCGGGGTGTATCGAAAACCTGGAATTGTGTGCCTCCTACAACACTAAAGAGTTTTTTAATTGATTTTAGAGGATGAAATCAATAATAGAAAACATTAAGAACACAAACATAAATAATATTTGTTTGGCTCATTAAATGTTTCAATGAGTACAAAAGTTCTAGAGAGAGAATGAGAATGAAAGTGCCCAAAATCTTTTCTCTACTTCTATATTAACCTTATTTATAGGGTAATATAGACGCTCAAAAAGTATGCAAGGACTAGACATTCGACATCAACATAAAAATGTCTTGCAAAATACATACACGGCGAAGTACTAGACTAGTACTTCGCACCTATACATAACAAAAATACTTTCGACCTCTCACTAGACATTTCGCACTCAACAATCTCCCCCTTAGTGAGAAGTGTCGAAATTAGGTCATCAGCTTCATGGTCTGGAGAAGTACTCTGCGAATATCCATATACCAAATAATAGTCTTCCGAATTTCAGCCTTGTCCGCAACATCATTCTTCGTGCAATTATTGATTCGAACTAGAAGGCTTGTATACTGAACATTCGTGTACCTCTCAACATCATCCACTTGGAACAAAAACTTTGTCATTCTCTGGTTCTTATTCTTGCCACGAAATACTACCCCCAAAAGCTGATGAACAATTTCACCATATTCATATTTTTCAATATTTATCCTCCCTTTTAGCAAGGACTGGGGAACTTTTGAAGTCGTGTTGATGGCGATGGCAATCTCGGTATCAATGATTGCAAGGAAATCATAATCACTATCGATGAACACTTTGATATGAAAGAATCCGATGATAAAATCGCCCTTGTTGTTGTATGGTAGTTTCATTACATCCACATTGCTTAATATCGATGTCACTGTGACCAAGTCGTTCAAGTTCATCAATGGGAAGTCGGAAACTGAAAAATCACAAACTACATTATTCGCCCTTACAACAACATAGCAAAATTTTTGTAGAATGCCTTCGAACAAGTTTTCCTGAGAGATTGACATCACTTTAATGATCTTCACAGAAGACCAAATCTCATCTTCGCTTTTTCCTAAGTCTGCATGAAATTTCATTTTCAGTCTTTTACACTCATATTTGTCTTTGAATTGATCAACCAACTTGTACTGAGAACATATATATGTCATGTGATTTATAGGGAAATCGAGCTGATTAAAGTCAGAGTTTTCAACATCATAACTCTTCTTTGGAACCTTGCAAACATCATCCATCTTTCCTAATGACACAACTTGCTTAATAGTTTCATAGCACCATTGTTTGTTAGGATCAACCTTGTTCAAACCCGGTGGATCATTCTGTTTTTGCCTCAGAATACTATTGATTTGCCTTTTCCTTTCAATCTCCATCTCTAATTTCTTCTTCTTCTCTTCTTCAGTAGGAGTTACTTCAACACCTTTCCCTTTATCTTACTGGTTGTCTTTCGATGGAGGTGGTTTGGAACTTGACCCATAGCCTCAAGCACTTTAGTTAATGACAATCCATTTCTGTTATCGGTCTTGAAGTGGTGGTTGTCGAAGTTATTGTTAAAGAAACTGGAAGTGTGGTGGGTATTTGTGTAGACATAACCTTCCTAACAACTGCACCCTTATCAGCATCTTTTGAAGATCCAACACCTCCGCATCCTTTTTCTCCCCCTTATGACACTTGCTTCGCAGGTGGATCATTTGTTGGTAGAAGAAGATCCAACTCAAGGATGGGAGCCAGTTTCTTTTTGATATTAGCTTCAATGGATGAAATCATGTGAGTGATTGTTTCTTGGCAAACTGAAGATTGGTTTGAAAGAGTTGCTTGCAAAATGGATTCCTTGATGCTGCTTAAAAATTCCTCCAATTTTTCAAAGACTTTGGAATCCGATTCTGTCTTCATATCCAGCTTAGTTGAATAAGTAGAATTGTACTCAACTAGCTTGGCAATTGCATTAGCAACTATATCAACTTTTCCATGAAGAACATAATGACTTTTATCTAACTTCTCACCTTCTTTTTCCATCTCTGCTTTAAGATCAGTCATCTTGAGATCAAGAGACTCTTTCATCGTCTTCATTTGCTCAACCAAAATTTCATGCTGCTATTTTGCAACATCACGAAGCTTTTTAACCTCATATTCAAATTTATCAGCATGAATTTTCAATCTTTCAGCTTGTTTCTTTTCAATGTTTTCCACCATACTCCTTAGACGACTCTCTTGTGACCTTAACAAATACTCCACTTCGACCCCAAACACAGAATTTCGACCCATAGTGTCTGCTTGTATCTATAACAAAGAATTTAGTTTGTTGTTGAGGATCTTGAAGTGTTTACCTGCCATGAGCATGTTGTCAAGAACGTTATCCTCTTCAGTATCAAATTCTAAGTCAGCAAAAGAAACCATTATATCATCGTCATTGGGTTCATTATCTTGAACTATTTGTTCTCCTTCTATGGATTGCAAAGAGAAAAGAGTAGTTATTGGTTCATGCATGATTATGGAGAATGTTGATGAGATCATGGAAGAAGGACGTGATGAAGGGATAGGAGAAGATAATGGTGGTAATGAAGTGGAGGTACCAAGAATTGTGGTTTCGATGGTAGATGAAAGAATTAGTGATATAGAAATAGTTGATGTTTCAGGATGGGAAGTACCAAAGGCTTCATTGTTCATCGCCCCTTCACCCATAGTGACATTTGTATTCGTATCAGATACGTGCACAGTGATGCCCGAGGTGCAAACCTCCTTCGTATAGGACTCGGTTTAAGAAACCTCGGATGGTATGACTATTGCCTTATCAGGGATGGAAGTGGATGGAGGATCACTTAAACTGGAGTTTGTATCCGTATTAGATACGTGTACATTGGCACCAGGACCTCCAGTCTCCTTGAAAGTCGACATAACTAGAGAATCCCTTTGAGGTGACCCAAATCCAGTATCATGAATGCAAATATCAGAACGTTCGCTATCACTGCCATGATCTGATTCAACAATGACTTTATGAAGCGGGTCTTCAAGTTGTCTTTGTTTCTTCTTAAGCTTTTTAACCATCTCATGTGCTTGACATTTCTTGGAAGCTAGTTAAACATGGGCAGGAACTTCACAAACTAGCACACCTCGTTTGCTAAGTTGAGGTTTGCGAATTTTCTTTATCCCCTTATAAGAAGAATGAGTGTGTTGGGATTTGGTAGGGCTTTTGACTTCAAACTCTGGAACATATGGCCTTACAAAAGAATGTTGAGGCATTTTATCTTGTTTCTTTGTGCGTTTGAGAATGCTTGTCTTCGAAGGAATGACTTCCTTTGAAACTTCCTTCTCCACATTCTCTTGAACAGGTTTTGGTTGTTTGGTCTTCTTCTTTTTATTTGGTGCTTTAACATCCTTTGACGAACCCTGTGCCTCCTTTGGCAAAAGAACTCCAACTAAGACGTTTGTGTTAATAGATACCAAATATTGAACCAGAATTGGGTTTAAAGGATCAATTCGTCTTAACATTGTGTCGAGAATGCGAGCAACACTTGGAAAAAGAACTGGATCATCAATAACGAATTTTGGAACCTGCAAAGTCGAAAACTCCGCCTTATCATCTTCTGAGGGAACCAAAATCCCTTCCTTTTCATACACATCCCTGAGGATTAAACTCCAATATCTTGCACAAGAAACACCATTCGACACATTGGTGTGTGTGTGTGTGATTGTTGTACCAAAATCTTCCCAAATTTGAGTAACATAATAAACATCCAAGTCATAATAAAGACCAGCAATCATAACATAAACCTCCAATTTCGCCCGTCCTAACCCTGAACTACGGCCTATCAGGCATCGTAGTATAATACCAAAAAGAAATTTTCACATACAAGGAAGATTAGACTTGCGAAAGACACTTATCCCTATAAGAGGAGGTTGATGACCCATCTCATTGAAAGATCAGAGTAAACTGTCGCTTGGTGAGCTTTCGCAATTTGTTATCCGTCAGTTGGAAAGTAACGACTTTCGTGGTTTTGTTGAAGACCGTCATTGACCCAGCAAGTGATAACCATGTTATTGGAATAGAAAACGACAATGATAAGACAGTTGAAAGAACAGAGTGATTTAGGGCCACAATCAGCATCTGCAACTGCTCAGGATATTGTAAAATAGTGGGTAGAAGACAAAGATTCGAACTCGAAATCTTTAGCAATGGATGAGAAGTCTCTTCTTCATTTATGGTGTTGGAAGGATCAACATTTGTAGTAGGAGTCGCCATTGTTAGGGTTTGCAAAAGTTTTTTGAAGACGATAAGCTTTGGAGAAATTTAGAGAAATTTGAGAAGAGAGCATAAAGTCTTCAAATACCACCACCAAATTCCTTTTATAGTCGACGGATAATTTGAATTTGAACCGGTAACCAATCAGATTCTACCACGTCTTGCATTGGTTATGGGACCGGTTACTGTAAAAGTCGCCACGTCAGATAAAGTGATCATCATGACTTCCTAAAATTCCATGAAATACTGAACTGTCACGTCCGCTGAACTTCTTGTTGTTCCCATAGGATAAGAACCGTCATATGTTTCGCACTGTAGATCAAGTACACCATTTGTTTTTTACATCAAGAGAACACCAGGCCTTCGCATTGAGGTTAGGCTCATTCACGTTTGGGATTGTAAAGTGAAATCATATGCCAGACTTTGCGAAATCTAGGTTTCGAATTGATAGTACCCAAAACCTGAAGGATTCCAGTATAAATGTGTGCCAAATAATAAGTAGGAACAAAAAAGTGTGCGTTTAGTGATATCAAATAGCATTTGATACGAAAGCAGTAGGATCCCAGGAAAAGATCTCTTCATTCGACATCAAGAGAGATGACGAACTGCTTGCTTGGTTTCCCGTGAAGGACAATCGAATACACATCAAGGAGCATCTAAGGGCCTCTTTTTCTATAGTTTTCGCAGGTAAGCACAATTTTCTCAATACCACAACTTATAATAAGTGTAAGTTGATTGAACAAAATTACTTGGATGACCAGTGTAGTCAAGAACAAGTAACGGTGGATAAGTTTCGAAATGACAAGAATTCAAGAAGATATTCAGACGGAAATCATATTCCAAAAAAAATGTAAGATTTGGATCTTGTTGGGCAAAAATGTCTTGGTTATAGAGAATTTTGTCAAGATCACACATGACGAAAGGAATATGATTTTGAATATCGAAAAATGGTACTGAAACAAATGTTTCGTTATAATCTTCAACAAAATGTTCACCGTCAATGCCTTAGAAGTTGGGATTGTTGGGTTTCACCATCATCACGAAAAAATGAATCAGGATCATAAACACAGATTGGTGTAATATCTACATTCTGATTGGTTTCTTCCAGAGATGTCGAGGATATGTAGTGATGTGTGTGATCGTGAAGAAAATGTTGGTGAAAAAGATTGGTTAAAGAAACTCATTGTACCTATGCGAAAGATATGGACATTATAGAAATCTCTTTACTCAGAATGAGAACATAAAGCTATCTCTTTGACTAATGTGAATATAGCCTGATTGGGAAGGAACACTCGTAGTGAGAGATCCATTAAGGCTTTGAACACATAAAGTCTTTGAGGCTTTAGGTCAACATACATCATCATGCTTCTAGGGACTCCCAACTAGGACATTAGTGTGAAATCATACATGTCCCCCTTTTGAATGTGATCATTGAGCATTCGCCACCAAATCATGTTGTTACAATGAGCCACAAACGGTTAAACACAATATGAAATAAAAACAAGAAAATCTTTTTGGATTTTTGTTTTCTAAAAATAATGACAAAATAAGAAAATCTTTTGGAGTTTTGTTTTTTCAATTGAAAGACAAAAGTTAAGAAAATATTTTTGAGTTTTTGATTTTGAAATCTAAAGACAAAACATAATAAAATCTTTTTGGAATTTTTTGTTTTGGAAAACTAAAATCAAAAACAAAGTAATACAGTGTTACCAGTGACATTCGATGTAAGAAGTAACTAGTCTCAAAGACATTGTACATCAAATATCTTTTCTCCCCTTAATTCAAAGTGATGTCAGAATGATTTAGAGGAATGGCGAATGCGAACGTATGTGAACGCTGAACCGTGGACAGTAACCTCTGAACTCTTCAGCAACATACCAACCACATCGGCATCTTTATACTCATGAAGAACCAGGAACGGAGCTTGCTTCAATCATTCCTAAACTATTTAAAATCCTTAAAAATGATTTCTCATCTAAAGGTTTTGTGAATATGTATGCAAGTTGATACGTCGTTTTGACAAACTGAACCTCTATGTTACTATATTCGACGTGATCCTTGATAAAATGATAGCAAGGATCTATGTGTTTAGTCTTTGAATGTTGGACCGGATTATGGCAGATGCGAATAGCACTTTGTGGGTCACAATATAAAGGTATCTTCTTCATATTGATTGCATAATCACGAAGTTGGCTTTGAATCCAGTTTACTTGAGAAGTGCAAGCTGTAGCAGCCACATACTCTGCTTCTGCTGTAGAAATCGAAACACATGTTTATTTCTTTAATTGCTAGCTTACGAGCTTCCCATCCAACAACTGACATCCACATGTTGTGCTTTTGTGATCCAGTTGACATCTACCTAGGTCTGCGTCTGAAAAAGTTTGAACAAAGAAACCAGTCTGTGAAGGATACCAAAGACCCAACGACATTGTTCCCTTAAGATAGCGAAAGATGTTCTTCATAGTAGTAAGATGGGGTTCTCTTGGGTACGATTGATACCTGGCACAGTTACACACAACAAACATGATATCAGTTCAACTCGCACTTAAGTGTAAAAGTGAACCTATCATGTTGTGATATATAGTTAAGTGTAAAAGATCCAATGAAGGATTTGTTGGAATAGGTGTCTAAGCCCATAACTATTTTGGTATGTACTTGACCCGATTATGAGCATGGTCCTTTTGGGTTGCCGTCACCATAGCAACTGATAGGATGAATTAAGGAGAAATAGGATTAATTATGATTTATTAATATATTATGTGAATAATATATTAAAAGAGAAATCATAATGTTTAATTAATATTGATGAAGAATTAATTTAGAATTAATTTTGTGGTCAAAAGAGATTATTTAAATAAAGGGGACTGATACTGTAATTATAAGATAGTTACAAAGTTGGGCTTAGGATCCATAAGGATGCAATGGACGAATTCTATATGAGAGTCCATATAGAAATCGTCCAAGGGCCTTCTGGAAGGATCCATTGGGCTGCTTAAGGACTAAGCAACTGGATTAGGGTTTCCAAGTTGATAACCCTAGAAGCCTAACTATAAAAGGAACCCTCTAGGCCACCAAATTCATCCTAACCTTCTAAGAGAGCCCTTGGACGAATTTTGTGCCTCCTCCTCCCTCTCCTAAGTCATCTTGTTGCTAGTGGTGTTTGTGACTCCATTAGAGGTGCAACATTTGAGGCACTAAGCTTTCAAAGGTCAAGGATATTCAAGGAGAACTTGTTATTACTACATAACAAGAAAGGTAAGATCTAAACCCTAGTTTATATGTCAATTTGATTGTTGTGTGCTAGTTCTTAGGATCATTGCTTTGGTATTCAATGTTGTTGTGTTCATAGTAGAAAACCTAGATCAATGCAATTAGGGTTGCATGTTCACCATAGGAATGATGTTATGCTAATAACCCAACAGGATTCAAGTGTGTGCCAATGAAGGATTCAAGTGTGTGCCAACTGCCATCGGTACTTTCAGTTTGGTGCTATTCGTCATTCCAAATCTATCTAGCAGGTTGCGCTTGTATTTTTCTTGATTTATGAAAATGCCTTCCCTGCTCTGACGAATATTTAAACCCATACAATTATTTATTTTTCCCATCATGCTCATTTCGAACTTATTTTTCATAAACTCTTCAAATTCCTTCGACAACAAATGGTCAGTTGAACAAAAAATTATATCATCGACATAAATTTGAACAAGCATCAAGTGATTCCCAACTTTCTTTCGAAATAATGTGGGATCAACTTAACTTTGTTTAAATTTAGCAATTTTCAAAAAATTGGTTAAGGTTGCATACT